AGCAGTGGTCGGCACCCCAATACATTGATATGATTTTAACGCATTGTGTTAGTTCCGGATAGCAGAAAAAAGGCTGGGAGAATGACGTTTCACACATTTACTCTGTGTGTGTGTGTGGCAGAGCTCGGGCAGAGCCGACCTCTGGTATATAGTATTCGAGTGAATGTATGTATGTTACATGGAAAAGGAATCAAATCCGACAAATTCATTGGTATATTATGAAGATTTCTATGGAAGAAGCGCAGATTAAGTTTAAAACTTGTTATATGATGACTTCTGCCCTCATAGCTGAGATCCTGTTGAAGCGCCTGTTCAAAAAAGTTTTTGGAAAATATTTATTGTTTTTTTTTGTTAATGATAAGTGGAGAAGAAAAAGCTTAAATTTTTCAATGTGAATACCAAATATGAATATTATCAAGCTTACTTGCTTTATTTGAGGTACTGAAAGGTCGATTGAGGTCGATTTTAAAATCTTACAATGGTCCTGATGTTAAACTATTTTTAAAAGCAAACAAATATCCCCCCCCTAATATGTTAGGAATTGGTAAGATTGTTTCAAAACTATTTTTTGTACATACCAAAATGAAACTCTACTTTGCAGCTTTGCTTAAATTTATTATCCAAGTATCGAAAAAAGACCATGTTATAAATAAGGTATAAATAGATTTATATTGTTTTTTTTTTATATTGACAACTTTAACAAGTCTAATCCAAAATATTGACAAATCAAAAACAAAAATAAATAAATAAAAAACGAAAAAACGTCTTAGTTTTTTTTGTCCGTCTTTTTTAACTTGAAAAAAATAATAAAATAAAAAATAAAAAAGTCATTTATTAAATCTTTTTAATGAGATTGTAGGAAATTGATCGTATTCAAATAGATTTTTTGAATTCATGGTTAAGTCTTTATAAGTCCAAAAGTCGCCGTCTAAACATAAAAGGCAATAATAATATACAAAATTGGGAACGAAGGGTTACGGTAGTGAATCTATAGGGTTGCATAACGTGCATGTATTATTGGTGAAATTTTTGTTCACGTTTAGATGTCATAACGAACCCTAGAGCTGGGTGTTTTTGTGTATTTTTGTAGCTGTTCTAAATGTGCAGCATATGCAATAATTTTTCAAAATCCACGCAAGTGTAATACTTTAATGTAACTTTGAAAATGTTTAATAAAAAAAAAAACAAGAAAGGAAAGCTAACTTCGGGCGGAGCCGAAGTTGATATACCCTTGCAGTTAAAACTGGATATATATCGCAAACATCGGATATAGTTGGCCGATCCTTATGATTACATCATAATAAAACCAATTAATTACAATAAAAAATCTAAAAAAAAAGTCCCAAGCTTCTATCTTCAAAAATACGAAAGTTGATATTTCTACCAAATACCATTTCCGATCGTTCAGTTATATGGCAGCTATAGGATATAGTCGGCCGATCCTAATGAAATTTGGTAGGTTGGATCAATTGACCGAAAATGGAATCTGCTCAGCTTTCTATTTTCAAAATCACGAAAACTGGGTCATTTTCGATCGTTCAGTTATATGGCAGCTATAAGATATAGTCGGCCGATCCTTATGAAATTTGGCATGTCGTAATGTTTTGAAAAATAGCTCTCGTGTCCAATTTGAAGTCTCTAACTTTAAAAACACCAAAGTTATACCATTTCCGATCAATCAGTTATATGGCAGCTATAGGATATAGTCGGCCGATCCCGGCCGTTTCGACTTATATACTGCGTGCAAAGGAAAGAAGGGTGTGTGCAAAGTTTCAAGACGATAGCTTTAAAACTGAGAGACTAGTTTGCGTAGAAACAGACAGACGCACAGACAGACGAACATGCTCATATCAACTCAGGAGGTGATCCTGATCAAGAATATATATACTTTATAGGGTCGGCGATGTCTCCTTCACTGCGTTGCACACTTTTGACCAAAATTATAATACCCTCTGCTAGGGTATAATTAGGAGTCATGATTATGTTAGTTTTTGTTAACTCTTTTCAATGGGAACTGTTTAAGATTAATATTAAAGATTACCGATCTACATTGGGAAAAAAAATTGGGTACCTGTTCAAAATTTAATTTTTAAATGCTCAGAACACATAAACGCATAAACTTAAATGGTAACGATTTATTTCTTTTAAGATTTATTCAATTCATACCAATTTATTGGAATTTTAAAAAGTCCTCGAAATTTAGGACTCTAGATTAAAATACCCCTAAAACTAAAATTGTTATACATATGTATATTAATTACACAGTGCGACAAAAAAAGAAAAATTGGAGGAACTTTTGAAGAGACCTAGTAGGAATTGTTCATTAGGTCGAGTATAGTATAAAACCATGTTTGAAATTTTTCAAACACCCTCTAAATCTTGATTTATTTGGAAAAATCGGTTTTTCGGGACTTTTTAGCTCTTAAAAATTCCTAAACGCGTAATTTTAAACAGATTTTAAAATTTTTTTTCGTTTTTCAATAGTTAAATGTTGGAGCTTTTGAAAAAAATGGTCTTTAATTTATTTCAACAAAAAGATACAATTTTTACGCAGGAAACTGACATTTTTGAATTTTTGTCGTGTTTTTCGGACTTTGACGCCATTTTTTCGGTACAACCAACTTCATTAGGAAATTATGAAAATTGTTGAAGTTATAACGATTTTCTCAAAACAAGTCAGTCCAATCTTGCTAGCGTTCCGGATTAATAGTGTGCCGTTCCACTTCCATTATTCCTTTATTTTACACACTTTTACTTCGGAGGGCTAGTAAAATTGCACTGACTTGTTTTGGGAAAAGCGTTATAACTTCAACAATTTTCATAATTTCCTAATGAAGTTGGTCTCGTTTTATTCAGAATTAACGAGACAATATTGATATGTGTCAAAAATGATACCATTTATTGGGAGTTGTACCGAAAAAATGGCGTCAAAGTCCGAAAAACACGACAAAAATTCAAAAATGTCAGTTTTTTCTTTACAAAAAACACGGAAGAATCACGTTCGACATGGTTTGATTTGCGAATCGGTAGCCATAAGGGGTCGGAAGGACCTAGTTACCTTTACCTCAGACATTGAAAAGGTTAAGAAAGGTAGGATATATGAGGCCCACTACGATTAAACGTCAATAGCCTACAGTTCCAACAGTTAAGAAAGAGAAATTATCAGAACCCCACAAAACGACTTCATCAAGGTCTAATTGCAAGTGACTGTGAAGGTAGTGATTGGAGAAGAAAAGCTCAACTTGATATCATCAACATACAGAAATAGCTGATCCTTTCAATTACATCGAGGATAGTGAGAGGATAGCATAGAATACAGAGCAGTGCCTAAAAATGCAACTAGAAACACTGTAAAGGCAATAAACATATCGACCAATCTTAGAATATCAAATTTAAACAAGAAAGGAAAGCTAACTTCGGGCGAAGCCAATGTTGATGTTCCCTTACAGTTAAAACCGGACCAAAAACTAAAAAAAAAACACCAAGCCTCTATCTTCGAATATACCAAAGTTGGTCTTTCGACCAAAAACCATTTCCGATCGTTCAGCTATGTGGCAGCTATAGAATATAGTTGGCCGATCCTTATGAAATTTGGTAGGTCAAATTAACTGACCAAAAATATAATCTGTACCAAGTTCCAGCTTTCTATCTTCAAACGTATTAAATATTGGTATTGAAAATGATTTTTAAAAATTTTTTTATATGGAATTAAAAGAAATTTTCGATAGGTAAAAAAAGGAGGGAAATCAAAGTATGAAAGTGACAACTCTACTTATTCCCTCTATTACGGAAAGTTGACCCAAAAATAAAAAAAAAGGGGTGAAACCCAAATGAATCGGCGGTGAAATTCTGTCTTTGCCTTCTTAAGAATGAAAAGTTAAGCCTGCAAGCATGAGACTATTTTTGTTTACAAATTCCTTAAAATTTATAAAAAACAAGAAAGGAAAGCTAACTTCGGACGAAGCCGAAGTTTATATACCCTTGCAGTCAAAACCGGATATATATCGCAAACATCGGATATAGTTGGCCGATCCTTGTGGGAATATGAATATATAATCCAATTTATTACAATACAAAATCGAAAAAGTGTCCCAAACTTCTATCTTCAAAAATACCAAAGTAGGTATTTCTACCAAAAACCATTTCCGATCGTTCAGTTATATGACATAGAATACAGAGCAGTGCCTAAAAATGCAACTAGAAACACTGTAAAGGCAATAAACATATCGACCAATCTTAGAATATCAAATTTAAACAAGAAAGGAAAGCTAACTTCGGGCGAAGCCAATGTTGATGTTCCCTTACAGTTAAAACCGGACCAAAAACTAAAAAAAAAACACCAAGCCTCTATCTTCGAATATACCAAAGTTGGTCTTTCGACCAAAAACCATTTCCGATCGTTCAGCTATGTGGCAGCTATAGAATATAGTCGGCCGATCCTTATGAAATTTGTTAGGTTGGATCAACTGACCAAAACTAAAATATGTACCAAGTTCCAGCTTTCTATCTTCAAAAACACCAAAGTTATACCATTTCCGATCGATCAGTTATATGACAGCTATAGGATATAGTCGGCCGATCCGGGCCGTTCCGACTTATATACTGCGTGCAAAGGAAAGAAGGGTGTGTGCAAAGTTTCAAGACGATAGCTTTAAAACTGAGACTAGTTTGCGTAGAAACAGACAGACGGACATGCTCATATCAACTCAGGAGGTGATCCTGATCAAGAATATATAAACTTTATAGGGTCGGAGATGTCTCTTTCACTGCGTTGCACACTTTTGACCAAAATTATAATACCCTCTGCAAGGGTATACAAATATTAAAAAAAAAAAAAAAAAATACAAAGGAATTGATAATATAAAATTTATACATTTGCATTGCGTGGATTACATCCTGTCTTATTTAAAATAAAATACGCTTGCGTGAATCTTGAAAAGCCCATTATTTAAACACTTTAATATTCAGTATAAAAATAATTTATCTCAATGGAAACATACCTGCATGGTTTACACCATTGGTTTTGTTGATCTAATCCAAATCGGGCTCGACATTTTTTCATATTATTTCCTAAAATTCAAAAAAAAATATATATGTACATATAACATTTATAATATATACTTATAAAATGGTCACATAATATAGAATAGATGAATGAAACTATATGAGTTATGAATTACATAAAGTGATCCGATAGTGGAACCTATAAACAAAATATATGTATATATTTAAATACAATCTAATAAAAACGTACATACGCATGCATAGGCCATCCAATATATTTTAAATGCGAAAACGAATAAAAATGGCATGCTTACATAATTTAATAAGCAGACAATTTTCTCTCATTTTTTTCTACAACTTTTTTGATAAATTTTGAATTTTGTTACTTTTTGTTAATATTAAAAAAATAATTTTTAATCAATATGTGTTTCAAATTGGTTTCTGATTTTAGAGCTTGCTCGTTATAATATATTTTTAAAATAAACTAGTTCATACATAGTAAACATTAATAATTTATTTATATCTGGATGTTTAACATTTTTCAAATTTTATTGATTTATGATCTTATTAAAAATAGTTTATATTGTACTAAAGTTAGGAAAATATGGCTAACCTCCGTCGTTGGCATCTTTCCTTTTCCGCTTTTTGCCACGGGAGGCGTTTGTACGAGAGCTCCAATCGGGATACATTTGCATATGTAGTTGACGTTCTCGTCGCGCCAATTCGTAATATTTGGCCTGTTCCTCACGCCCCAAGGCATGCCACTGGGTGTGGGATAACCATTTGGTTTCGCAAAAAACATTATATAATAAGGCAATAATTGGAATTATTGAAAATATACCCATCCAAATTATTAAATTGTAATTATGTATACTTTGATTAATCATAAAGACACATTTCATCAATTGTTGAAATTATTAAGATTTATGAGTTTATTAAAAAACCTATAATCTTATACCGAGGGGGGCATATAAGAATTATGCGTTACGAAAAAACGTGAAAAAAATTAAGTCACCACGAAAAATTTTGGCTATTTCAATATCAGCTTTTATTTATTAAAATTATATTTTCAAGTATGTAAAAATAGGTATCTCTATTGTGTTAATTGGATTAACGCTTTAGATATGCTTTTGATTTATATTTGTTAAACTAAAGGATAAGAAAGCAAACAAAATTAAATTAAACAAATATTTCGAATCTATGTATTTATTTTCTTTGGAAATGTTATTTATTAAAAGAATTTAAAATATTTATTTATAAAATATCATATTTCACATGGTAACCTAATAAAGTTCCATATTTGTCACATTTTAACTAGACAATAAAAAATTTAAAAAATTTTAAAAAGAAGGCCATTTACTCATTTTTGAAATAAGCGTTTTTTAATCTTTACTATTATATTCAATCCAAATTCCAAATAGTTTTAAAAAATTTTTGTATTCATCTATGTACATTGTCTTATCATTATAAATATGTTTCCAGCAAGAAACTGAAAAGCTGGGACTGATCGATCGATTCGGGTGCATGCTTTCGCCAATATAATGCCATACGCCCAATTTTAAATAGTTGTGGTAGTATTTATATTTTAGATTTTAAAATAAAAATGTTTTTTTTTTTTTAAATAAAACTATAAACCAAATATACCACTTTATATGTTTAAATTTAAGAAATTTTCATTTAAAAAAATTTTTTTTTTCATTTTTAGATTATTTTATTTTTATTTAAAGTTTTGATTGTGTTTGTGAAGTGTACATGAGTTTTTCATTTGTTTTTGAATTTTTTTTTATAACATTTTCACATGACTACAACAGTAAAAAAAACAACAATCATTTCTTCCTAGAAATTTAAAAAAAAAATACCATTGGAAATTTGTGGTCTACATAATTTTTATAGATTTACGTCCGAAATTACCCAACTTTCGTGTTTTTGCAGATAAAATGTTGGAACTTCCTACCAATTCTATTTTTGGTCAACTAATCCGATCTCAAGTTCAAAGGAATCGGCCAACTAAATCTGATATTTTTTGTTAATGAATATATTACGTTCTTAACCCAAAAACCTATTTTTTGGACACCTATTAAAATTAGAAAAAAAACGATTTAAAGAAATACCAAATTTAACATTATCTAAGCAATCTTCACAGCTACAAACTTAAAGGTTTAAATCTGCCAAGATCATTCTTACAGCCTGTTTAAGATTAATCTTATTTTTATATTTCAATTATATACACAAATTACTAAGACATATTTTTAATGTATCGATACTTCTAATAAATGTTAATTACTTGTGGATGTTAGAGGTGTGCTTGACAATGTACGTGTTAGTGATTTCATGAAACAATAAAATAGTAAAATGCAATTTAAATAAAAAAAGGTTATTTTGAGAATTTTGTGCAATACCTCCCGAATCCGTTGTCGATCTGTCTTTTTTACGCTTTTTCTTTTTTGACACATAACCGTAGTTATCTCGTGCGCTCCACCCCGGATATAATTCCATATGTAATTGCCGCTCTTGACGAGCTTTTTCGTAATATTTGCTTTGCTCTTCGCGGGAAAGTTCGTGCCACTATAATTAACAATGGAATTCATTAAAATCAATTTTCGAAATTGTATTAGTTCAATTGAACTGTTCAATATTGGTACTATTTATATTTCTTTACTTTCTTAATGAGGATTCGCTTTTTTTGGTAACTTACGTGATATATAGTAAAATAAAAAAATATTTGTTTATTTGCTTACCCGCCTCCCCAAAATTTGATTTATAGCTGCCGATTCTTTAAGTGTACATTCGGCAACTACTTTGGCTCGCATTTCCTTCATGTACAACATAAACGCATTCAAGGGTTTTTTAATATGTGGTTTTTTTTTGTCATTCGAAATATCTTTAGGGTCATTCGTTTGAGCACTTGATGAGTTTTTTGTATCCAGGTTCCTGGGAAAACGTTAAAAAGGAAATATATACAAATATAATAAAGCTATGTATGAAACAATATTATATTAACCTATAAAAGCTAAAACAAAAATTTTGAACTTCGTCTGGGGCCAAAGCTCATATACCCTGGCATATTTATGAATTTAACCCATGTATCAAATAAAAATGTATCCATATGGCATTTTTATACCTTCCCAGAGGGTGTTAAAATTTTTTTTAAACAAGAAAGGAAAGCTTTGGGCGGAGCCGCAGGTGATATACCCTTGAAGTTAAAACCGGATATATATCGCAAACATCGGATATAGTTGGCCGATCCTTATGAGAATATGATAATATAACCCAATTTATTATAATACAAAATCTAAAGAAAGTCCTAAACTTCTATCTTCAATAATACCAATGATGGTATTTCTACCAAAAACCATTTCCGATCGTTCAGTTATATGGCAGCTATAGGATATAGTCGGCCGATCCTTATGAAATTTGTTAGGTTGGATCAACTGACCAAAACTAAAATATGTACCAAGTTCCAGCTTTCTATCTTCAAAAACACAAAAGTTGGGTCACTTCCGATCGTTCAGTTATATGGCAGCTAAAGGACATAGTCGGCCGATCCTTATAAAATTTGGCATGTCGTATTATTTTGCCAAAAATAGCTTTCGTGTCAAATTTGAACTCTCTAACTCTAAATACACCAAAGTTATACCATTTCCGATCAATCAGTTATATGGCAGCTATAGGATATAGTCGCCCGATCTGGGCGAAAAGCTAACTTCGGGCGGAGACGAAGTTGATATACCCTTGAAGTTAAAACCGGATATATATCGCAAACATCGGATATAGTTGGCCGATCCTTATGAGAATATGATATTATAACCCAATTTATTACAATATAAAATCGAAAAAGTGTCCCAAACTTCTATCTCCAAAAATACGAAAGTTGATAATTCTACCAAAAACCATTTCCAATCGTTTAGTTATATGGCAGCTATAAGATATAGTCAGCCGATCGTTATGAAATTTGGTAGGTCAGATTAACTGACCAAAAATACAATCTGTATTAAGTTCCAGCTTTCTATCTTCAAAAACACCAAAGTTATACCATTTCCGATCGATCAGTTATATGACAGCTATAGGATATAGTCGGCCGATCCGGGCCGTTCCGACTTATATACTGCGTGCAAAGGAAAGAAGGGTGTGTGCCAAGTTTCAAGACGATAGCTTTAAAACTGAGAGACTAGTTTGCGCAGAAACGGACAGACAGACAGACGGACATGCTCATATCAACTCAGGAGGTGATCCTGATCAAGAATATATATACTTTATAGGGTCGGAGACGTCTCCTTCACTGCGTTGCACACTTTTGGACAAATTTATAATACCCTCTGCAAGGGTATAATATAAGGATTTTGGCGTCTTCTATAATTTTTTCAATCAATCCTGAAAAACAAAAAAGTTTTAATGCAATCATTAATGTTATATGGCAGCGTTATAGTACAATATTCAAACGCAATATGTATTTTAATGCGGCGGAATCAAAATTCCCAGAAAAAGCAAAAACAAAATTATACACCTAATACTTTAAACGTTTACGGACAGACTCAGACGAAATGACTCTCCTACATGTTGTCAAAATCGTTTAGAGTTCAATATATAAAAAACAACAAAGAATTATAAAATTACATGTTTTTTAGCTTGGTTCCGATAGTTAGATCATATGGGGCATCTAGTATGGGCAAACTTTCACATTCAGAACGTCCAACGTTTTTATCGCTTTTAGCACATGCAGCTTTTGTTAAGACGTTTAATTTAAAAATATTGTTAATAACCCGTTCTTGAACAGCAGTTACAGAATCCATTGTTGAAATCGGCTTTTTTGAGATATGTAGTGCGGTTTCGTCCAAATTTAGAATAGGCGTTATTTTTAAATTGTGAAAATATTTTTCATCCCCCATATTCGGTAAAATATTTGATTTAGAGGATTCTAAAGTTGGAATTTCAATGCGACGTGCAAATTTTGATTTCCTTCGATTTTGATTTATTCCGCGATTTCCGGAAAACGTATCTATCAAGCTGTCTTTATTATTGCTCGTAGATGTAGCAGATGTTACTGAAACTTGATCAATAAATTCAGAGTCCCTAATAAACGAAACATCAGAAAATTGTTTATTATTAATATTTAAAGAAACGGGAGACTGAACAATACTGTCTTCAACAGTGGCAGAAACATCGAACATTACGGTGGAGTACTTTGATGGTAAATTAGCATTCATATTTAGAAGTGCTGTAGAGGATGATAGAGAAGCAAACTCTAAAATAATTTCTGCTGCAGTGCTACATTGTTCAATTTCGTGTTGAGTTTCCGAACTTTTATTTTTTGGGTGCCAAATGCAAGATGGTGAAGAAGACTTTTTAAATTCACTTTTATCATTATCGTTTTGATTCCCAGACAGGTCACTGCCTGAGTAATATTGTTGATTATATACGGTGGAAGCAAATTGAAGTATAATATTTTCTATTTCAGTTAATGTTTTGGGCTTTCCTAAATTTGATACTAATTTTTGGTCAATTTTATAGTCATTTTTTTTCCAATCAACACAGTCAGACTTTATATCACTGTTTTTTGACGGTATCAAACATTCTTCAGACAATGCTATTGCAGCAAGAGCCATAATGGAATAAACTGTAGTTTTATAAGAACTTTTATCGGAGTTAAGTTCCAATCGTTGCATACTTCGAGTGTAAAAAAGCTCAGCTGTGCTCCATTGATTACAAAGTTGTTTTACTTTATCCAACATGCCCTCAATTGTTTTTAAGTTATCATTTAATTGTCTACGAACGTTTTTTTTAAGGGCTGTATCTACTTCATAATTTCGATCGATATGACCTTGACGAAATGCAGATGAAAGCAAGGATAGTTGCTCCAGTTTATTTCTGACATCAATTAGTATGTTTTTGTGTTCTCGGAAAAAGCTAAAATTTTCTTGTCGATCGCAAACGTTTGTGTATTTATTACAATTATTTAATTGATGAACCAATTTATCCTTATCGATTTCTTTTACTTTTGATTGTCTCAGATTGCTTAACATTTTGTGAAAGTTTGAAAATTCTGAAGGGGATTCATCCCATCGCAAACAACTATCAATTTTGTTAAGAGTTTCATTATTATTATTATTATTATTATTATCTTGCGAAGATGGAGTTGGTGGAAGATCCTCTTGACAAATATCAGATTTTTTTTTTGAAAAGTTAACCATATCGACCACTTTATCGTATGTTTTTCCAGATTCAGAATGGAACTCCGATAAGTGAGGCTGAAAAAGGTGAGCATAAAGAAGTTGTGTAGCCAGAAGCTGATGTTGCGAGCACCTTTGTTGGCTCATTATACTATGACTGTTTATGGAAGTATATAATTTTCACCTTGACTGCGGAATCCTATCTCCCGATTTAGTACCTTAAGCTCTCTTTAATTTGGTTGCAAATTTTTGAAATAAGATTATTTAATGTTGACTGATTTCGTGATTGCTTCCTTGGAAATGAGAACATAACCATCCATGGAGGCTATTGTTGGCGGGCACCAAGCAGACTATTTTTAGCCCGAAGTTGGTACTGAAAAGTTAGTATAAAAACAGTTTCAGTATAATTTTCAATATTTTGTGTTGCTTGTAATAAGATTTTTTATACATTTATGTTGTATTTTTATGTACATTTTAAGGAGTATTTTATGTTTTTATTTTTAGCTTGCTCTTCAAGCTAATTTTTTCCAATTTTTCATTTTTCCATAAAATGTTATTCGACAATAAATTCAGTTTGATCCTCAGAATATATCTATGGATCAGTTAATTATATACATTATTAAAATAAATTAATATAAAGATAATTTTTTCCTAGATTGTTATTAATTGTTAAGTTACGTTTATAAAATGGTTTGTATTGTTTAATGTTTTTATATGCATTTGTATTAATTAGTCTAATTTGAACGGATTAATATTTTTATAATAAAAGAAATTTAAACTGACAATTGTAACTACTAAGTGAATACTGTTTTACGAGTGTTTTTTTTTAATGAAACTTTTAAAGTTTTAGTGAGATATAATTACAAACAGTTTTGTTATTTATTTTATTTTTTATTTATTTTAGGTAAGTCTTTTTTTAAACTCTGGAAATTTATATTTATTGAGAGTTGCCTTTCTGGCTACGTTCGGGCTAAAGCTTATACTTATTCTTCAATAATTGCAACACTAATACAACACTATTTTTGCAACATTGTGTATTATTTTTTGTATGGTTTTTTTTACTTGCGTTAACAAAAATGGTAATGAGTACGTTACAATAATATCATTTCAATATTTTTTCCTATTTCAGATACTGAATTTTATCCATAATTTGTAATATTTTTTTGTCAGAACTTGTATGTGTTTTCACAAAATTATATATACTGCCTCAACAATATGTCACAATACTCTCTTTCGGTCTTTAAAGACAAGATTCAATGAAAATTTTCAACCACAGAGAGAGGCAAAGAGAGCATGCGAATTCAAGCCTGAAACGTCAGGAAACGAAAGATACCAAGTGCGCAGAAGTATGTTTTATAAGCTCTCTCAAATTACATACCTAAACTAATGCTGTACCATTAACCAAACGTAAAACCTATTATTTTATCTCAAAAACCTATTATTATCTATCCTTCGTCTGTAAACTTTATGTAAATGCAATTTAGACTTAAAAAAAGTTTTAAAAATTATAGCGTATAATTTTTATAGTGATATTTCGTTTTTAATGTTTTTTTAAGGGTATTAAATGATTGATTAGGAACAAAACTTTATTAATGAAAAAATATATGCTTGTTACTTGATAAACTTCTTAAGAAACTGACATGTTCTAAAAAATGTTATACGTATTTTACTTTTAACAAAGGTAGCATATTTTAAGTTACGGTTATAAATAAAGGGAAATTCTATTTATAAATTTTTGACTAGTGCAAAATGTGACCTTAGGAC